CCCCCCCCCCCCCCGCCTTTTTGATTTTTTTTCGAGACAGGGTTTCTATGTTGCTTTGGAGCCTGTCTTGGAACTAGCTCTTGTAGACCAGACTGGCTTCAAACTTACAGAGATCTGCCTGCCTCTGCCTCCCCAGTGCTGGGATTAAAGGTGTGTGTCTCCGCCCGGCTGTAAACCGCCTTTTTGATTTTTTTTCGAGACAGGGTTTCTATGTTGCTTTGGAGCCTGTCTTGGAACTAGCTCTTGTAGACCAGACTGGCTTCAAACTTACAGAGATCTGCCTGCCTCTGCCTCCCCAGTGCTGGGATTAAAGGTGTGTGTCTCCGCCCGGCTGTAAACCTATTTTCTGTGAATATGTGCTCCTGACACCTGACAGTATCAGTTCTAGTGAATGTGGCGGCCAGTGTCAAAGATGGGGTTCCAGAAGAAGTCTTAATCCTGAAGTCAAGAGGCAAGCCCCACTGTAGTTTTGACTAACATCCATAAGCGAGACAGAATATTTAGCAATGAACTTACATAGTGACATGTTTATAGGCAGTTCAAGTCTGATCCAATCAGATAACCCCAGTGAGCATCAGTTGACTCCTCCCCATGTAGCTCTGGCTCTCACCCTTTGCTGCCTTGGACAGCTGCTCAAGGAAAGCGCTAGTATTGTTCTCTCTTAGGCTCCATCGTAGAGCTACCTAGAAGGAAAGAAAAGGGTTTCTGGAGCTGCCTTGCTCCTATCCTGATGGCTGAACCCTTGTTGTTTCCCCTCCCCCATTTCTTATTAAGGTACAGAATAGTGGTCTCATAGCGACATTTTCCTAATGCACGAGATCATATTCACCACTTTCATCATATTCATCACTCCATTACCCTCTCTTGTCCCTCCCGCTACCTTCTTGATTGACTTTTCTACAGGTCAGAAAGGTCACAGGCACTGTAATTGTTCGGCAGAGGCTCTGGCTTCCAAAAGATCTGGCTTAAAATCCTCCCTCTGTCTTTAACAAGCTGCACAATCTAGTGTCACCTGAGCATCAGTTTTCTGCAAAAGTGGTGTAAAAACCCTTTGTACATGGCTGTGAAGGTTGAGTAATGTATATAATGTATATTGGCATTTTTATGATCAGTCTGGAGAAGGAAGCTGTGCTGGAAGGGGGGTTTCTATGGCTGTGATGAAACACTATAGCAAAAAGTAAGTTGGGGAGAAAGGGTTTATTTGGCTTATACTTCCAAATCATAGTCCATCACTGAAGGAAATCAGAACAGGAATTCAAACAGGGTAGGAATTTGAAGGCAGGAGCTGATGCAAAGGCCATGGAGGGATGCTGCTTACTGGCTTGCTTTTCATGACTTGCTCAGTATGCTTTTTTATAGAACCCAGGGCCACCAGCCCAGGGATGGTACCAGCAACAATGGACTGAGCCCTCCAGCCTCCCACATCAATCACTACTTAAGAAAATACCTTACAGCCAGATCTTATGGAGGCATTTTCTCAATTGAGGTTTCATCCTCTCAGATAATGGTAACTTGTTGACATAAAACTAGCCAACACAGAAGGCAAATTGGGCTAAGGTAAGAATTTGAGGCCCTTGGGGAGGGGAAAAGCAGCCCTCACCCGGTGTGTGAAGACAGCATCAATACCATTTAGTATCTGGGGAATTTAAGTTGACTATAGCTGCCAAGTCAATAAAGTGGCAGCCAGACAGGATGCGCCCAGGTCTCAGTGACCTCATTTCCTGCATTCACAGCCACAGCGGCGCATTGCTTCCCACGGTAGTACTCAGCTCCATAGCTAAGCTCTGTTTTACATACTGGCCCCAAAAACTGGTGGTAGGTGATTCTAGAACATTGGTGGCCTCTCAAGTGTGACCCTCTCTCTGCCAATGAAGACGATAAGTGGCGTGCCCCACAAGGTAGGCCACCAGTTCAAAGAGTGAGCTTCCCTGAGAGTCCCAATCCCAGCCTTTCCCTCTACAAAATTCATGGATTGGCTGAACTTGGTAACAGGATTAACCTCAGGGGCTTTGGTTCTACTTTTTCTCTTTGACTTGGTGGATTCAACAGTCTGTACAGAAGGCAGAATGATTTGTTGAAAAGAGCATTGGATATGACAGCAGGCTCAGACTGACCCCTGCTTCCCCAACTGTTCTTCATGCCCTCCGTGAATGAAGTTCCCATCTTTAGAAGTGGAGGGAGGCAGGCTCACCACTCAATGCAGTTTCCATTGTCATGTATGACTCTTGTAAGGCTTTCTTTGCAACCTCAGTAGTTGAAGAGAGTATGTTTGGTCAGGTCCCTTGGCCTTCACCAAAGAAAGGGAAACCATCTCATGGATGTGTCACAAAAGTGACTGACTTTTTGTCTGTCAGGATGAAACTTGGGGCTATTGTGGCCCATAACAAGCCCCTGGAAAATAGTTTTACATATATTACCCAGCTCCCCGCCCCCCCACACCATTTTGCTTTATTTATCTTAGTTTAAGAAGGTTTTTTTGTTTTTTTTTTTTTTTTTTTACAGGTAGTTGGAATAGAAACTAGGATTCTAAACCAGCACCCAGGAGAGAAACATGGACATCATGGGGTGCCACTTTGGCTCTGTGGATCTGTAGTTTTAGATGCATTTAATGCTAAAGCACACTGTGTTATCTGCTGAATACCTGGCCTCATGCAGGGTCCATGTTGTCCTTCCCCTAAGAGTATATGCCTCGTAGGGTAATTGATGCCTACACAGGAAGGCAAACTTCAGTTCTGTGTTGTGCCCCTCTTTGGCATAGAAGGTTGTTGTTAGCTTGGTGGTTATTTGCTGGCATGGACTAGTTCTTTGGAATCATTCACAGTTTGTCACTGAAAATTATTGTTGATACTTTGCCACAGTTTTGAACCATGAAGTAACTCGTCAAGTTAGGGTCAAGAACTTAGCATTGTCCACCTACAAATATATCCATGGATTGCATTCTACCCGCTCTGAACAACTCTTGCTGTAGGCACAACAGAGGACTTTAACTATCTAGAGAACTCGAATCTTCAAAATTCTTTTAATAGTCTCCAGCAGTGAGATAAACAGTTTAAAGCCTTTATTTGTGTATGATGCATTAACTTTCCATTTTTGGGGTGCATTATGCAAATCAGCTTTTATTTTAGGTTGACAATTTCCCCTTTTGTAGCAGCCTCATTCGACTCCTACTAATCTTGAAACTAAGAAATGATAACATCTTTGCCGCTTCTCACAGCAGCTGCTCTCGCTATGCCTCTCCTCTGCCTCCGGGCTGCCGCTCCCTGACTGAACCTTGCCTACCTGCCAGTATCTTCCTGGCACACAGCTGAGTCACAGCCCCCAGGCTTCACTTTCTCAACTAATACAGTAGGGACTGTACTTAGCTCCTGTGTCTGCTCTGATGTCTGCCTTGACTTACCTTTCGTGCCTGCTTCTTTAGCTCCCTTCCTGCCTTAGTTCAGGAAGAGAGAAGAGTAGTTGTCCATGACCATGATGGAGGAGTTAAAGGAGAAGGTGATGTGGAGGAATGCCTAGTACACGTGGGCACTGGAGTGTTGGTTCTCCACTTCTCTTTCTCACTCTTTCTTCTGTATCCAGGAAGCCCTGGAACTGAATTTGCTATTCCAAATTTATGTCATAAGTAAGCTGACTACATCTTACTCACTTTGGAGTCTGCGTCCTAACCCGTAACCTATACTTAGTAATGTATATTGGTTGAATAAAAATAAACCCTAAGTTGTAGAAATGGTATTTTCAAATTTATTGGGGTTTTGGTTCAGTTTGTGACTACTGCAGTTACTCTCTCAGAGGACGGGACAGATGTACGTCCGACATGATTCATGTGCCTTTATGGTCATCTTGAATTCTCCTTAAACCTCCAAGAGTAGGTATCTTATTTGACAAAAGGTCATGACCAAGAGCAACATGGGGAGGAAAGGGTTTGTTTGACCCATTTCCACACCACAGTCTGTCATCAGAGGACATCAGGAGCTGGAGGTAGGAACTGAAGCAGGAGCTATGGAAGAGTGCTGCTTAGTGGCTTGTCTCTCCTGGCCTGCATTCCTGCTCTTGCCCTTTTGCTGGGGTAAGCTTCAGATGCACCGGAAGAGGTGCAGACACATATCTTGTCACACCTTGATGCGATTGCGTAGTCGACGTTGTGTGCCATTTTTCTCTGAGCCCTCCTCTGACTTTACATATGACATTTCACAGGCAGTCTGCAGTTGTTTGGCACTTGAGGGAAATGGAACTTATTTTTAGCGCATCTAGAGGTGTAATTTCTGGAGGAGGCCCTGTTTGAAAGACAACATCCTCTAGCTCTCTACAGTATGGGGCTCATAAAAGTACACTTTACTTCACTGCTTCTCGTCACTGGCCAAATTTAAAAGGTTTTTGTTTGTTTTTTTAAAAGCATCCTTCATATTTAGCTGTAAGTATTACCTGGCAGATGAAATGCTCTTAAAAACCTTTAAAGGTACATGAACTTTGTGCTCTGTGGTTGAGTTCTTTGTGTTCATAGATGAGTTGGGAAAGCATCTAGATGAATTTCTGAGACATTGCCTCCCCCTTCCACACACCCCGCATAAGAAACTGCATGGTATCTCATACGGTAGTTTGAAATCTTCCATGTGCTTTGTTCATTGGCGTTATTAACTCCAAGTAAACACAGGCGTTATACTCCATGAATTAATTTCTAAGAAGTCCCCTAGAGTTGAACTTCTGGGTGAACTCAGATCAGATCTTGTCTCCTTTCTTGAAATTATGACAAGATGGAGGAATATGGTGTTTCCTGAAAACGTTTCTAACTTTGTAGTCCCTTCCAATCTGGCTCTCCAGAAGCACTAGTGGCATAAATTGTAGAGCATACATGATGGGCGCAGTGGGAGTAGTGGGGATGTGCATTCAGAAAGCTCTGGTCCTCTTCCGCCTGCTGACACAAAAACCATACATTGGGGAGTCAGTTCTCATCAGTGTGAAATGTGACTTGAGCACTTTTGGGTCCTGTGACTTGACAATTATACATGCAAAGTAAATTATTAAAAATAACAGTTAAAAACAAAACTGTTCTAGAAAAAAGAACCTGAGGTGTTAACCAGACTGACTTCAGTAGAAAGGGACTGGTTATTGTGATCTCTTTTCCCAAGCTCAGAAATCCTGGGAAGGACCTGGTAGGTTCTCGACAAGGTGCCCGCCCACTTGGTTAACCATTGCTGTCTAAACAACATAAGCTGAAGAGAAAATGACAATTGAACTACATGGATTAAAAGCGTCAGTCATTGGCTGGGTGTGGTGATACATTCCTGTTGTTTAGGACTTGGGAAGCTGAGGCAAGGGGATTTGTGTTTAATCAGTCAGTATCATGTTTGCTTTTAATAGGCAGAATTTTTTGTTAAAGAAATAATCAACTTTAAAAGCACTATGAAAAGCTCTCATTCCTGCTTATAATAGTTAACTAATTTTTTCTAGGTGCATGTATACTGGATGTTAAAATATATTTCATTCCCTGAGTATTTGTGTCCTTGTGCTTTTCTTCCTCAGCAGGCTATAAACTTGGGAGAGAAGGAAGCAGTTCTTAAGATTCCCTACATTTTCTTTCCATGGGTACTGATAGGTTACCAGATTGTCCATTTCACCCAACAATGAGCCTTATGTATTCAGAGCCAGGCACAGCTGGTTCCTTGTAAGTGTGCTTTGGTGCTCAACAGGAGAAATGAGGTTGCAAGTGGATTTTTTTTTCTTTTAACATACCAAAAAATTTCCAACATCCTTTTCCTCTGTCTTTCTCTTTTAGGCTCTAGACCAAGATAGAACAGCCCTACAGAAAGTGAAGAAATCTGTAAAAGCAATATATAACTCTGGTCAAGGTAAGTACTTACTAAATCAGATCCCATGTCTTAAAAATAATGTTCAGAGTTGTCTCTGTTACATGTAGGATATTAACAAAAGATCCGAACAGATGAAAAACGTAAGTAGGCTGGGAATTGAACTTTTGTCCCTTTTTTCTTCTGTCTCTACTCTCAGCCAAAACCTGTTTTTGTTTCTGTAGTTGAAGTTGATATGATGATCCTTTTAAGAATTCAGTACAGTGGTAGCTGATGGTTGTCACATGGTCTCTTTGTGTGGTTGGTCAGCCTGTGATCCAGTGACTTAATTTAAACAAGGAGAAGTCGCTTCCTTCTTGAATTTGCCTGTACATGTTAAGTCCACATTGACCATCAGCACTGACCATGGAGCCTGTAGGAGTGTTAAGGAAACAATGTTAAATTCTTACTTCACAGTTTTCCCACTCTCTCTCTCTCTCTTTTTTTTTTTTTTTTCTTTTAAGCAATGATGACAGAGAACTAGGTAACTAATGTTTAGCATTGGTCCGGTGACTTTTGCCAGTTCAGTGACTACAGCATTTTGTCATTGAATAAGAACAATTCAAATCAATTACAATAATGGGTACAAGTAGTGGTAGTCTCTTATTCACCGTGATACCATTGTTGCAGCCCCAACTCACTTCTCTAAGACATCTGTTGTGTATACCCTCACAGAGAACCTGGGAGGGGAAGATGGCTGGCTGTGACAGAAAGAGCAAGCTTTGAGGCTGGATTGTAAACAGAACTGCCCTGGACTGTTTACTCAACTTTCTCAAACTTCTGCTTTTCTCATTTGTAAATGTGGTGGTGGCATTAAAGAGCTGTTGAGAGGATTTAGTCCTCCTGATCCATGTACTATACTGTGGAAGTTCAGTAAATGCAGTGTTCTTTTTTAATTTTGTTATTATACAGTTGTAGAGCTGAAAAGAGTGTGAACAAGGCAATACCTGACCCCTTCGCTGGCTGCCTCACCCACCCACCATCAGAGCTCAGAATCACTTACCGGAGGGGAAGCTGGATGGTCTTGTTCTTCTGGGCCTCCTCCCCACACCTTAGAACATCATATAACATTGTCGTGCTTTTTACCGTTACCTAGCTTCTCTGTGTTCAAGAAAATGCTGAGGCACTTATCAAAGGCAGATAGATAATGACTGTTTTATAAGTTGGGGTTTTTTTTAACAACAAAACTGATAGGATGAATGAAAATATATTTATATTAAAGGGTATTTATTTATTAGATTGGCTAGCTCAACAATGGCTATCTCTTGATGGAAATGCCAAGAATCTCATAGTTGTTCAGTCCTTGAAACTGGATGTCTCTGCTGGTCATCAGTCTACAGTGGAATAGAGAAATAGGTTCTCACATCAGTGAAGGAGTACCTCAGCAACAGGGCAGATGAACCTGCTAGCAAGACTGATGGCAAGAAGGCAAAAAGCAAAAGCAGCCACTTCTGTGTTCTTTTATATCGCCTGCCAGCAGCATGTGTGGCCAGGCGTAGGTGGTTCTTGTCAACTCAAGTGATCTGATCAAGAAAACCTTAATAGATGTGCCCTGCTGCCTAGGTTTTAGTTGATTCCAGACATGACAGCCAAGATCAGCCATTATAGTTGTCTCAGTCTGGAGTGATTGTATGTTGTTTTAGGTTTCCACCTAAATGAGAAACCTAATTGACAGCTTCCGTCTTTGACTTTGTTCTGATAAACTCCTGATATATGGTGGGTGTTTTGTAGATAGCAGCCCTTTGAGAAAGAAAGCAGAAAGAACAACTAGAGAAACCACAGGAGTGCTTTCCCGGAGCTGATTTTTTGCTTTTCACGTGAGTGGTGGTTATATGGTTCAGCCAACTCTGATGATTTTTCAAAAGGTACCTTAGTTTTCATGCTGTGAGGTAAAAAGAAATTATTCTTAAAATATATAAGGAGATGCTCAGGAGCCTCTATTGGGATTTGAAAAAACATAAAGTGAATGGAATTCATAAAGGAAGAATAACATGTCCATAAATGAAGAACAAACTATGTAGTGTATTCAAAGAGAAGAAAAGTACTGTAGCTTGCCACACTTGTTAAGTTCAACTACTTTATATGGCTCCACTAGATCTTAAATTTTCCTCATTATAAAATATGAAAATAATATTTGATGTATGTGTGGGACATTCTATGGAAAAATTGAGGTAACCTGTACAGTACCTGCCACATAGTTGGTACTTAAAAAGTTACGGGTGGGAACACGGCAGTTAAAGTGGCAGTGCAGCAGCCTGGGAGTGGGAGAGGTTAGCTGTCAGCAGAGACACTGCCCCTGAGCCAGGAGCAACTGCCAAACCTGTCCTGCTGGAACTCTCCCTGGGGAGGAGCGCCCTGTCCTGCAGCAGCTCTCAGGAGCTCTTTTCTGTGGGCGATGGACTTCATGTTCTACCCCCTAACAGATTTCCTTGATCACAGCTGCCTTAGAATGACAGGAAGAAGGGGTGGCACCCAGTCGAGTGCCTTCTCCTTTAGAGTGTATTTCCCCTTGTGGACTGGCCACAGCTGATGAAGGTTTGGACCCCGTGCTGGGTAGGAGCTGTGTGGCCTGCTTTTTCCCCTGATACTGTCCATTAGAGTAGCCTCTTCACCCGTGGTTTTTAAATTAATTGACGTCAAACGAGATTTAAACTTTTGCCTCTCGGACTCAGTAGCCACACATGACTAAGATAACACATTCAGCAGAGTGAACCTAGACTTTCTCTCTGAACACAGGAAGTTCTCCCGGACTTTCATGCTGTAGGAGTGTGCGTGTGTGGTCACTAATTGTACCTGCTGAGCAGCACCCTCACATTAGGCCCATAAGTCTCACCCTGGATTGTTACTGAAAAGGGGGGGGGGGGGTAAGGACGCAAGTCAAAGAATCCCAAGCCAACTCTAAACGATTTTAGTTATAATTTTTTATTATAAGGGGCAAACTCATGGGACAGGAACGAGAAGTCCAACCTCAGGTGTGTAACGCAGAAACCAGAGAAAGAGCAAGCCCTGGGCAGATCATTAGTTTTCTCTGGGTAATCAAAAGGTTACACACTAACCTGGTCCAGCCTCTTAAAGATAATTGGCTGAAGGAGGTTCCCCATCACCTCCCCCTCTTGTCTAAATAAGAGAGTTCCAAGCACAATACAAAACTATATACACTAGGAACAGATACCAAGTATAAAATTAGGATTACAACCAGCATAAACAATATTAAGTAAGGAACATATGCTAAATGTTTGACTAAACATTCTATCCTAAGGAGTCTAAGTCTTGCATTGGAAATGGCTGAATCGTAAGAGGAAGATAACTACAATCTTTAACCCCATCCAAGACCTGTTCATTAGATTCACCTGAAGACCTAGCAAACACAAATGGGGCTGATGTCTTGTACTCACACCCCCAGGCTGTTCTAGAGCAAGCACCCATACTGGGATTTACAAAGAAATAAATTGGCTATGTGTATCAGACTTGCAGCTAAACCTGGTAATTGGCCTCTGAACTCCTTACACGTGCCATTGTCCCTCATAAGGACAAATTTCATCTTTGTGTTGTGTCTCACTTGTTGGCTTGATTATCAGCTCAACAGTTATTAATTGAATACTCATCACATGCTACTGTTCCAAGTATTAAATATACAGGACAAGTCAGAGAGACTCTGTCTTTGTTAATTTTATGGTTCATTGGCAGTTTGCACCAATCTGGAAAGTAATTTTGATAAGGAAGCAGGAAGTGCTGTAAAGGGATGCACAGAAAGAGATTCAGGAGATCTTATGTAGTGTGACAGGGTGTGCCTCCGTTGGGGAATGCCTCTCAGACAACATGGTGATTTTTGGGCATTGATGCTGTACAGACTAAACAAGCAAGCCTATTACATAAGTGTTTTCATGCCCATGTTTCAGATTATGAAACTGATACCTTACCCAGAGTATCATACCTAAGAATAAGATGAGCATCTAGCAGCCCCAGCTTTGCTCATTATACATGCTGTTCTCGTTGTCTTTTCCCTGCTATGTGACAAGGCTTAATAAGTTATAATCAAATGTTTGTTGTATGTTGGCCGTGTGGGTTTCTCATTGGAAATTTACCTGAAAATAGCTGTAAGTGCTCACTTATTGTGAATATTAGTGAGTGAATGACTCAAATGTAAACTGTGGACAGTGTGACCTGTGGGTTGACTTTGTGGTTCTGTGATGGGGATCACATTGAAATTGTACTTGTGGTTGAAAGTGTGGAGATAAACTCAGATTGTCTGGGGCTCCTCATAGGCTTCTGGGACCCAGTAGTGTTTTTGTAATCACAAGCCAAGATAGGACAGAGGGTTTTTCATCAGACTATATGGGCAGCATAGTAACATGTGATTCTTTAGAGGTGACATTTAATGTTTAGAATTAGAGTTAAAGGAGGAAAGCAGTGGTGTATATCTTCCCATGATACATTGGAAGTACAATCCAGACTGCCCCTGTCTAACCACTTTTGACCTCATCCTGGAAAACCACAAGAAGCTGAACCTTGCTGTCTCTTTCACAATGTATTTTCATTTTTTTTTTCATTTTTCACAGTAATTATGTGATAGAAATGGTGTGGGAGGTCCTTTTGTCTATGTGTTACTTTTATTGGTTAATGAATAAAGAACTGCTTTGAGCCTATGGCAGGGAAGAACAGAACTAGGTGAGGAAAGCAAGGCTGTATGCTGGGAAAAAGATGGAGTCAAGAGAGAAGCCATATAGCCCCCACCAGAGACAAACACCATAGAATAAAATAACATTGATAGTCTGAAAAGTGGGGCTCTAAATCCTTCTTCATGGAAAAAGTGGCGTGTAGTTTGGTGACAAATGTAAGCAACAGAGTTTTCCTCTCAAGTACAGCTAGGCTGTTGGAAACCGTCTCCACTGCAGGAGAGAAAACATTTGATTTCTCGTTATCTTCCTATTTTCTTTTCCTCCTGTTTCCTTCCTGTTAGAATTGCTAGTGGTTTTAGGAAAGAAATGGTGTGCTCTTTTTAGACAAGATTGGCATCTGGTGCTCTCCAGTTCTTCATTTTGTTTGTCTGTTTTGAGATATAGTTCATAGATTACACAGAGAAATCTAAGGTTTTAAAGGTAAAATAGTAAACCTTTCAATGGATAGAAAGCAAGCAACTTTATGCTTTTCTAAACACTTTTTTCAGATTTTCAGATATAGTGTAAAGTCATTCAGAAATAGAATTGGCAGCTAATGTTAGTGTTTGGCTATGTCATATAATACTAATTTTAATTATGATCTTAACAGGCATAAGCAGATAAATGGATTAATATTTTAATAGTAAGATTGGAAAGGAAAAATATTACAAGACTACAAAATCAGTTGTTCTATGTTTAGAAAATTTAACATTTC